TACAACGAGTCCAGCGAGGGCGTTGAGATCGTATTCAATGACACGTTCACGACTTCGGACGACGACCTTGCCAACGCGAAGAGCCTATTCTGGAACAAGGCTCTGTGGTACTAAGTTATCAGGCACGTTGGAAGCGTACAATATCCAGGAGATTGCTTATGCTAGGCCTTTTCTAAGTGATGATATATATATATATATATAAGCTTTGAACTACGATTTCACGGTACAACACACATTAGACTTCTTCATTTTACTTTAGGTAAATTGTTTTGCTACACATTGAACTAGTGTGTTGAGTTTACATGGTCAATATCTGGCAATGCATATTCTGCTTGGGCACGATCCTTGCGTTCACATTGGCGCAGTAGGTCTGTGTACCGACAATAATGCAGAGTCTTCACTCGCGAGGTGAGTGGTGAACACAGAGTTGAGGCGTTTATGCGCGTCTGTTTTTACTGCCACAATGTGTTTTCACAACTGTGAGTCACCAGCCATGATAAATGAGTTATTGTAGGTATCACTTCATGCTACGGAGAATTGGGGTCGTTTCATTCATGTAGGGATTGTGCACCAGGCAAGCTGTGCAATGCATACCAACAACCAATTTGATATATATATTACTGTGTCCGCTTCTTCTGCTCCCATCCGCAGTTTCCTTGTTTTTACGAGGCGAACTCAAGCTCACGATACTTCATCCTCGCGCTAGCTGTAATGCTTCAAGTTAGTCCCAGTATTAGCGGTTGGTCAGACTACCAAACGCCCCACGTGACAAGTTGCTTGCGATCACAACCAGCTTCTGTTAGACTTGGTTAAGTCAATTTAATGTTGGAGTATTATAGTAGAACAACGATTGCAATCCGTCACGTTCTATCCACTTCTTTGCTGCCAGAAAAAAGAAACTGAAAGTGGAGCTTCATACAGTACCGCAAAAGGAATCCAGCTATTGAGCACAAATTCACGGATCGCAGATTTGCGTTAACAAATGCTGTGGACCTAGGTTTTGCGATTTTGAAATCGTTGTGTAAGTTTACACCGCTTTTTGCATTTGTATCTTTTAAATTTTGAATTTTAATCCAAATTTATCTCACAGTTCGAAGACGGGAAAATGTCCATGAATTCGGCCGAAATCCGACTATCCCTAGCCGGATACCGCATTGATATCGATGCATACACCTGTATACAGACAATCCTCTTTGTAGTGATAACGAATGGATGCACTTCAATTACTATCCGGAGGAATCACTATCCAGAGGTGTACCATTATAAGGGTACCGTCATCTCTATGGCTGCACTGCTGACTGCAAGGTGTCGATTACAGTGGATGACCAAGCTCTTTCTTCATGCTGACGCGATGGGTATACTGCATCAAGCAGTGAGAGGTTTTACTCTCTGTAGAGTGCGTTCCGAGGGAAATTGGGTCACAAGCGGGGCCGAAACAAGCAAATAGAGAACTGTAGTTTCTGGGGTTACGGAAGCTAATCGAGGGTTATGAAGTGTTGCTCCAAAGTTGATTCCTTGAGTAACAGCCCATATCATAACTGTACTGGAGTTAAGTATTGGAGCATCCGAAAAAAATCTGAAAAGAAGCCTATGATTAGCTTATTCGGATTTTTGAACAGATATTCCTTACTCCAACTCCAGAAACTACAGCTCTCTAGTGCACTTGCTGTATCTATTCGGACGTAGATTTATAAAACGGACAGTATCAATAGCTAAGACCGCTTTGATAGTAATAATCGACGATTATTATATCACTAAGTACAATCTGGAGGTTAGAGATATTTTTAACTCAGGCTTGTAAGCTGACGGCCGGCGGGAGATCTCACCAACGTCCTTAACTAAAGGGAGTCAATCACTGGTTGGGATATCACTCCGAAAAGGATTGTCTATAATCTCAAATTAGATCCCTTGATCGACATATGGTGAACATCACTTTCATTTAGTTTTGTAAGCAATTCCGCGGGAACCTGCACAGCCAGAACAGGAACTGTATCGCGTTCAACTAGTACTACAGACGATCCCTTCGGTAGTCATCGCGTTGGAACCCACAGTTTATTCCTGTCTAAGGGTATTCCTATTCACGTATGTACCATAAGAATGGTTCCGAATACCTTTGGTTTGGAACATTGCACCGCATCCAGTAGTGGAAACGATTGGCTTACCTCGTCGCTGGCGCTTCACAATGGATATATCTCCCATTTCTG